GCCCCCATGATGCTCCCGCATTGAATCACCCCCGAATTGTTTGGGTGTTCGATGTATTTGCGTGCAATTTTCAGCGTGGCTTGCACATGCTTGCACAGTTAGCGCAGGCTGCTTGCATTGTTTACTCTCTCCGATGTTGTTTTTGTTGGGCGGGCGCTTTTTTGATGAATCTGGAGAGAGAACGCTCTCGCCACTCTGCGGATTCTGCTCTCATCTGCTCTCAGGTCCCAGGAGGAGCCCAGAAGGCGCCGGGCCAAGCTTGTGTTGCCTCCGTTGCCTCAGCGCAGATCAACGCAGTCCACAATTTGCAGAGCAATTTCTCATATGCAATGAGACTGAGAGCGACCTGAGCGCATGTGCTAGAGACAAAATAAGAGCTTTGCCAGGGTCAGGCGGAGAACCTGAAGGCTTCCGCTTTGACTCAGGTTCAAAACTTCTTCATTCTGCTCATCCATGTTGCGTCTCACGGGAATCCCATTGCGTCATCCCATTGGCCCATCTCTTTGCGGCTATCTCTTTCGGACGTCACGAACATGCTGCATGATGTGTGGACATTCGTGGAGATTTGGAGTTTTTTTAGAAAGTTGCTGGCGGAGGCTGAGATGGAACAGCTGCAGAGGACCTTGATGACCGAGGCACATGATGGATGGAATGATCGTTGCGGTCGTTCTGGCGTTACGGAGTCGAGAGCAGAGAGTGCAAATTTTCTTGCCAAAATCAGATGGTCGTGGAGCAGCTGCAGACGAAACTGATGGCTGAGGCACGATTGAAAGAGCTTCTCTTCTCTCACTTGAGTCGTTTAGCCCTTTTGGCTTCTGTGTTCCGAGCCCGGCTCGGGTTGTGGCCCACTGCTCATTCACTGCTCATGTTTCGTGTATTGTTTATTGTTCTGATTTCTTTTTTCTTTCCTGAGGTCCAAGGGCTCCTGTCAGCCCAACAGAAGGCGCAGGCCGCGCAGGCCGCGCAGGCGGCAGACGCGCAGGCTGTGGCCCTGGAGGCCCTCCGCAAGGAAGCGAAGGAGTCTGCGGAGAAGCACCAGCAGAGCTTGCAGCAGAGCTTGCAGACCCTGCAGCAGAGCCTAGAAGCCAAGCACAAAGAGGAGCGGGCTCTTTGCTTTGAACCCTTAGCCTTGTAGTGTGCGCCAATGTCAGCCCCTAGGCAGAGCAGTGAGTACTTGCAAGTGGCAAACCGGATCCCGAATGGGAATCCCAAGCGGACCCCAAAGGTTGACGCCCAGAAAAAGGAATGCCAAGTGCAAAGACCCTAGAGGAGTAGTCAACCCTAAGCCCTCAAAGCCTGAGAAAGGTAATGCGCAGACTGAGTGACCGAAACCATTGTGGTTCCTGGCCTCGCCAAGCGACATGGAAAAGCCAAATAAGTGACGGATTGCCCTAATATCGTGCTTGAAATTTAGAGTGGGCGGCTGGCACCCGTACTTGCTTCCGAGGAGATCGCAGCCGTGCAGACTGCTTTGAGTGCTTCGGAGAAGAAGCTGGAGGAATCCGCTGCGGCGGCGGCCAAAGCTATCGAGGTCAGGGTCGGGGATGGTAGAGTCTACTAGAGAAGAGTCATGGGACTTGTGAAGTTGACCGAGTTCGCATTTTCTGGAGGCTCAGCGGCAGCAGGACCAGCAGGGGCAGGCGGTGGCCCTGGAGGGACTGCGCAAGGAGCACCAGCAGAGCCTGCAGACCTTGCAGCAGAGCCTAGAAGCAAAGAACAAAGAGGAGCGGGTTTTTTCTCGCTGGGCCGTTGGGTTTGCTTGAGGTTTGGAGTGGGCGTCCGTACTTGCTTCCCAGGAGATCGCAGCCGTGCAGACTGCTTTGAGTGCTTCGGAGAAGAAGCTGGAGGAATCCGCTGCGGCGGCGGCCAAAGCCATGGAGGTCAGGGTCGGGCATGGTAGAGAAGAGTCATGGGACTTGTCAATTTGACCGAGTTCGCATTTTCTCGAGGCTCAGCGGCAGCAGGACCAGCAGGGGCAGGCGGTGGCCCTGGAGGGACTGCGCAAGGAGCACCAGCAGAGCCTGCAGACCTTGCAGCAGAGCCTAGAAGCAAAGAACAAAGAGGAGCGGGCTTTTTCACGCTGGGCTACTGGCTTTGCTTGAGGTTTGGAGTGGGCGTCCGTACTTGCTTCCCAGGAGATCGCAGCCGTGCAGACTGCTTTGAGTGCTTCGGAGAAGAAATTGGAGGAATCCGCTGCGACGGCGGCCAAAGCCGTCGAGGTCAGGGTCGGGGATGGTAGAGTACAGAAGAGTCATGGGACTTGTCAAGTTGACCGAGTTTTCATTTTCTCGAGGCTCAGCGGCAGCAGGACCAGCAGGGACAGGCGGTGGCCCTGGAGGGACTGCGCAAGGAGCACCAGCAGAGCCTGCAGACCTTGCAGAAGAGCCTAGAAGCAAAGAACAAAGAGGAGCGGGTTTTTTCTCGCTGGGCCGTTGGGTTTGCTTGAGGTTTGGAGTGGGCGTCCGTACTTGCTTCCGAGGAGATCGCAGCCGTGCAGACTGCTTTGAGTGCTTCGGAGAAGAAACTGGAGGAATCCGCCGCGGCGGCGGCCAAAGCCATGGAGGTCAGGGTCGGGGATGGTAGAGAAGAGTCATGGGACTTGTCAAGTTGACCGAGTTCGCATTTTCTCGAGGCTCAGCGGCAGCAGGACCAGCAGGGGCAGGCGGTGGCCCTGGAGGGACTGCGCAAGGAGCACCAGCAGAGCCTGCAGACCTTGCAGAAGAGCCTAGAAGCAAAGAACAAAGAGGAGCGGGTTTTTTCTCGCTGGGCCGTTGGGTTTGCTTGAGGTTTGGAGTGGGCGTCCGTACTTGCTTCCGAGGAGATCGCAGCCGTGCAGACTGCTTTGAGTGCTTCGGAGAAGAAACTGGAGGAATCCGCCGCGGCGGCGGCCAAAGCCATGGAGGTCAGGGTCGGGGATGGTAGAGAAGAGTCATGGGACTTGTCAAGTTGACCGAGTTCGCATTTTCTCGAGGCTCAGCGGCAGCAGGACCAGCAGGGGCAGGCGGTGGCCCTGGAGGGACTGCGCAAGGAGCACCAGCAGAGCCTGCAGACCTTGCAGCAGAGCCTAGAAGCAAAGAACAAAGAGGAGCGGGCTTGTTCATGCTGGGCTGCTGGCTTTGCTTGAGGTTTGGAGTGGGCGTCCGTACTTGCTTCCCAGGAGATCGCAGCCGTGCAGACTGCTTTGAGTGCTTCGGAGAAGAAATTGGAAGAATCCGCTGCGGCGGCGGCCAAAGCCATCGAGGTCAGGGTCGGGGATGGTAGAGTACAGAAGAGTCATGGGACTTGTCAAGTTGACCGAGTTCGCATTTTCTCGAGGCTCAGCGGCAGCAGGACCAGCAGGGGCAGGCGGTGGCCCTGGAGGGACTGCGCAAGGAGCACCAGCAGAGCCTGCAGACCTTGCAGCAGAGCCTAGAAGCAAAGAACAAAGAGGAGCGGGTTTTTTCTCGCTGGGCCGTTGGGTTTGCTTGAGGTTTGGAGTGGGCGTCCGTACTTGCTTCCCAGGAGATCGCAGCCGTGCAGGCTGCTTTGAGTGCTTCGGAGAAGAGATTGGAGGAATCTGCGGCAACGGCCGCCAAAGCCATCGAGGCTTCGGGCTTCGGCAATTTCGGCTGGACAAATGGGTTGGAAGAGGAAGTGCTCCTCAAAGTACTCAAAGGTCAAGTCGGGAGACCCATTGGCCCGTCGCAGCGTGCACTACTGCTTAGCTCGTTTTTCACGATGTGATCCTTTGACAGCCCTTGTTGGAGAATTCTCCTAGCTTCACATGCAAAGGCGAATGACGGCCAAATGGGTGAGGTATGCCCCCACATCGACTTGGTATCGCCAGACCAAAACGTACAAGTACTTGTGAGAGAAGTTGAAGTGACAATGGAGTAATTGTAAACGCTTGCGCACGCGGGCCAGCCCATTTGCAAAAAGCTTTCGCAGAGGGAGGGTGCCAGGCGGGGGGGGTCCCACAGTCCCAGGCGGGTCTCAGCCAGGAGGGGAACGAAATCCTGATCTGCTTGTTCTAGACGCCTCTCGGCTGTAAGCCGAGGCGAAATAATGGCACGGAGTTGCGGATGAAAGCTGACTCAAAGGTTGGTACATCGTTAAGATCAAGATGATCGTACGTAATACATACTGAGCCGGTTAACAGCCTCAGCTGTAACTAACTTCGCGGTTCATAAGTGAGTCTAGAGCCACTTGCGAGCCACATTCGTGTTTGCTCCCTGAGGGTTGAGCTTCATATTGTGATCAGCCGCAGTTGGTTGGTCGAGGGTTACCTTAGCCACTGTAGGGTGCCCTGCACTGATACTCCCTTTGTGCCCGAGCCAAGCACCAAGGTTGAGTATTGCCTTTCCGTATCTTGCATTCCATATCTGTTCCTGTGCGGGCTTGCTTGCCTCCAGGATTCCATCACCACCACTACGCAGCATACAGTTGAAGCAGAGCCAACTTGTTCTGAACGCATTTGGGACCTGTTGTTGGACTGTTATTACGAAACTAGATTAATTGTGCATCCTCCAGCGTATAGCCCCAGCCTACCTCGAAGCGCGTAGACGGGCTGTCCGCGTAAAAGTCAAGTGGAACCGGTTAAGACGTAACATCTTGCAGAAGTGGGCTAGAGAACGCCAGCTTTTCTTCCTCTTCCGCGCAACCGGTCGCCTTCCCCGAACCCCCGAATTTTTGGCAAGCGTCACAACACTTGTGCCCCACTATCCTCCGTGAGGTACTGCCGCAGCGTCGAGGAGACACTTGCATCGCTTGCATCTTCTGCATTGTGGGTTGTGTGGGCACAAGCCTCCTTCCCATACATCCCCCAACAACCTCTCCTCAGACCCGTTCACGGTCAAGGGTGGCTAGGCCTTGTGGTTGTTTGGGTTCGGGTTTTAGAGCAAACGGAACTGTCCTGCTCTTGCCCCGTAGTAGCGAATAAACGGAGTTGCCCTGTTCGCTTATAGTGAGTAAACGGAGCTGCCCTGCTCACTCCCCGACAGTAAACGGTCCCTGCCCTGCTGTCTTTACCCTTCCATTCGAGATTCCGAGTGTTGCCCTATCTCCTGTAGCTTTGTTGAGTACTGTCAAGAGCCCGATTTGCTTGGCCTTCTGCGGCTGGCGAGCCTGCAACATACTGGTGTCTGGGGAAGCGGTGGACATCCAGGATTTGAGTTTGGCATGTCGGCATGCCAAAGTGAGGCAAAGCATACTGTTTGGTCACACGGGAACGATACACCCTTGCTCGCCCAGGTTTGAAGTTTGAAGTCTCTCGCGCTCCAAGAACTCAAACGCCTCACGGTGGTGGTGGGCCCTACGCCTCACATCGCCGCGCATAGTAGGAGAAGCTTTGGAGTTGGTTCGGCCATTGTTGTTGATGAAAGTGATGTGTACAAGTGTCAAGACTTGACACTCATCAAGATAGACACGTTGCCCCGTGATGCGGCCCATTTCCGTAGTTGGCGAAACTCCTTCATCAGCAGCTTGTGTTCAATTGACCGTACTGGCCAAGACACACTGCTGCGTTGGATTATGCCTGCTTTTGAGGTCACAAACCCTGCTGACTTGTCAGATCCCGTCAATCTCCCACGACTCGATGCTCACATTGCCAGTTTGCTGGCCGACCCCAAACATATGTCGAGTGAACTTGGCATTCAGTTTCAATCCTTGTAGAGGGTTGCCAACTTGCCTATACGGCCCCGAAGGGTAGGGTTCTCCTGCAAATGGTGGCTAGACGCTACTTTCTTGACCTTCGGCGGGGTGCTAACCTAACCGAACAACCACTCCTTGAGCTACCGCTCGAGTCATTCACGTATCAAAGCCTGGTTGAGTACATCCTCAACGCTATTCCGCCCGATCTGCAGCCATCACACCAAACTCGCTTCACGTGGTTGTTTTCACGGTTGAAACGATGTAGGCTGATACAGCGACACATTGACCGCATCAAAGATGCCAGCGACACGTCACATGTGCGAACGTGGGATTGGTTGTTTGGGAAACTCAAGCAAACCATCGCAGAAATGCGTGAGGATGCCAATGAGACGTCCATCAGGGAGGCACTTGGCACATCCCCTAAGTCACAGGACGACAAAGCCAAAGCCCAAAAGCTCGATTGCTTGGAGGTGCTCAGCAAGCTCCTCGTCCGAAAGTCCGCCCGCTCCTGCTGCGCCAGCAATTCTTCTTCAGAGAATCGGTTTCGCCAGCGCTCCGGTGCTGTTCGAGGATCGATCTCGCGCCATTCGAGGTCGATCCCCGTGGCCCATCGGCCATCACACGGAGCGCCCTTGTTCAAGCCGCTCTCGTGGCGGGCCGAAGTCGTAGAAGCGGCCCTCCTGGTAGAGCACCTGGGGCTCGGGTTTGGCGACAGTGTCCGCCTCGTCCTCCGTCTCGACCTTGACAGAGACATCCTCATCGGCCTCTTCGTCGCCGACGACCTCCTCCTCACCTTCTTCGGCGAGCTCGGCAGGCTCCGCCCCAGCCTGGACGTGCTTGCCTGTCCGAATCTCCGCCCTCATGAAGATGACGTCTAGGTCGTCCGCGGCGAGCTCGCCCGCGAAGTAGGCCGGATCTCCCGATCATGGAGATCGTCGAGGGGGGTCACCAACTCAGGCGAGTAATCTCGCTTACTCCGCCGCTGCGCCAAGCGGGTTTGCTCTGCCCCAACCGGCGGCTCTCGGGCCCGCCCGCGGTCGTCAGCCGGAACTTTGTTTTTCCCGACCTTGACTGTCGCGGGCGCGGGCTCGCTCGGAGCCCCGCGCTTGGGGTTCCGCACCGAGTTTCGGCTCGCGGGGCTCTTCTCTCGGCGCATCGCTGCCGCCGGAGCTTTCACTCAGAGCCGCAGGAGGGTCCAGGGCAGGGTCATCCCTGGGCCACTCCTTTTCTCCATAGCAATAATAGCTCCCGTCGAGGAGCTGGATGCGATCTCCTCTTTGCAGCAGAGGCAGCTGCGAGTGATCGTACCCATTTGCCTTGTGAAAGCGAATCACTCGCAGAGCGGGGACCCATCCTTGCCGCGGCGGAACAAGTGTCCCCGCCAATCCTGGCGAAAGGGGTTCGGGCTAACGCCGAGGTCCGGCGGCAGTGGCGCAAGGTGACATGCCGCCTTATGCAGGTGGAACTGCGTCACCTAACCCGAGGACCAGGGAACAGCCTGGGGCATCGCACGGGTAGTGCCCGTCCGCGTTGGGCGCCGGATCGTTTCTCGCTGCGGCGGACCTGGCTGTGCCGCCCCGCGCGCGCAGGGGCAGCCGAACTGCTTGACCGCACCTCCACTGGCGGGTCTTCCCCTCCATCCGAGAGTTCTCCGGCACCGGCTTTTTTGGCCGCCTGGTCGTCTCGCTTCTCCAGCTTAGCGCGAAGGAGCTTGACCTTGGCTTCGGCTTCCTCCTTCTTCTCGCGTTTGAGCACCACGTCGAGCTCCGTCATCTTCTGCTCGGCCAGCTCCAATTATGCGGACTTGGGCCCGCTCCTCCACCCGCTGGCGGCCCAGTTCGAGGACCTCCTCCTGGCTTGGCACCACCTCCTTCTTGAACGCGGCTGACGGCGCCTGCGTGTCGAGGAGCTCGGAGCTTGAGCTTGGCTCCTCTCGGCAGCGGCTGCTCGCGCTCTGCTTCTTCTTCTTCTTCCGCCTCTGAATCCTCCTGATCCAGGGCGTTGGGCTTAGGGAGGTTCCTGCGCGGGGTCGCCCCACCCCATCCTTAGGCTTGGGCCGCTTCTTCGCCTCAGGAGCGGCTTTCGGCGGCGTCCCAGGTGGGGCTGCCTTGGGCGGCGTCACAGGCTGGCTCCCCGCGGCCGTGGCATGGGAGGCAGCGCATTTCTCATCGCGTACGACGAGCAGCCCGATTTGGCCAAATTTTGCCCGCAGACTGCCCGGCAAAATTTGGCCAAATCGAGCCGCGCCGCAAAAGTCCTGCAAACACCGCGCAAAACGGCAGAGGGTAGGAACAACATTTGTGGGTCAAAATTTGCCGGGATCCCTTGGCGCCCTGCAAAAGTCCTGCAAATACCACACAAAACGGCAGAGGGTAGGAACAACATTTGTGAGTCAAAATTTGCCGGGATCCCCCTGGCGCCCTGCAAAAGTCCTGCAAATACCACACAAAACGGGAAAAGGTAGGAACAACATTTGTGGGTCAAATTTTGCCGGGATCCCCTTGGTGCCCTGCAAAAGTCCTGCAAATACCACACAAAACGGCAGAGGGTAGGAACAACATTTGTGGGTCAAATTTTGCGGGGATCCCCTTGGCGCCGCGAAAAAGTCCTGCAAATACCACACGGTAGGAACAACGTGTGTGGGTCAAAATTTGCGGGGATCCCCTTGGCGCCCTGCAAAAGTCCTGCAAATACCACACAAAACGGCAGAGAGTAGGAACAACATTTGTGGGTCAAATTTTGCCGGGATCCCCTTGGCGCCCTGCAAAAGTCCTGCAAATACCACACAAAACGGGAAAAGGTAGGAACAACATTTTGCCGGTCAAAACTTGCCGAGATCCCCTTGGCACCCTGGGACAGCCCTGCAAATACCACACAAAACGGGAAAGGGTAGGAACAACTTTGCGGGTCAAAATTTGCCGGGATCCCCTTGGCACCCTGCAAAAGTCATGCAAATACCACAAAATGGAAAAGGGTAGGAACAACTTTAAAGAAATTATGTTGTATCCAAAATTGGGGTGTCCTTTTCTTTTTTTGGTAGCAAACCCACCTTAAAAGGACACCCGCGCCAGAAACACTCTTTTTGTGGAAACCTTGAAAGCAAGGTGCTTCTTTGTCTGCTCTCACCTTTCGTTCGTTGGATTTTCTGTCCCCTTTATGTTTAGTTTTTTGCAGAGGGGAGTCCAAGATTTTCAGAGTGTTTCTGGTGTATAGCAAAACCCACCTTAAATGGACACCCACAACGGAGACTTCGTTTTTTGTTTTGCAAACCTTGAAAGACATGTGCTTCTTTGTCCACTCTCACCTTTCGTTCGTTGTGTTTTCTGTCCCCACTCTTTCTTTAAATATGAGTATTCAAATCATAGTTGAAGCGGGGCGTCCAAGATTTTTAGAGTGTTTCGGGTGTCGTTTTCTTCCTTCTTCCGTAGCAAAACGCACCGTAAAAGGACACCCACACCAGAGACTCTGATGCTGTGGAAACCTTGCAGGAGGGGCGCGCCCTTTGTCCACTGTGGCAGTTCTTTCGTTGTAATTTCTATGCGCAAGAGGAATAACAGAAGGAAATGATGTTACGTGTATCCAAAATTAGGGTGTCCTTTTCTTACCTTTCTGTAGCAAAACCCACCTTTCAAGGACACCCACACCGGAGACACAAATTTTATGGAAACTTTGAGAGAGAAAAGGTGCTTCTTTGTCCACTCTCATCTTTCGTTCGTTTTAATTTCTGCACCATTTAATTTCAATATGAAATATGTAAATCATAGTAAAAGAGGGGCGTCCAAGATTTTTCGAGTCTTTCGGGTGTTCTTTTCTTCCCTGTTCTGTAGCAAAACCCACCTTAAAAGTCTATTGTTTGGAAACCTTGAAAGAGAAGGTGCTTGTTTGTCCACTCTCACCTTTTGTTCGTTTTATGTTCTGTCACCCTTTTATTTAAGTATGGATATGTGTAGATCACTTTAAAGATGGGTGTCCAAGTTTGTTACAGTGTTTCGGGTGTCCTTTTCTTCCTTTTAAACACCCACCTGAAAAGGACACCCACACCGGAGACTCCAATGTTTTGGAAACCTTGAAGGAAAGGCGCTCCCTTTTTTCTACTGTGGCCTTCCTTTCGTCTTATTTCTTTGCACAAGAGGAAAAAAGAAAGACATCATGTTAGATGTATCCAAAATTAGGGTGTCCTTTTCTTCTTTTTTCTGTAGCAAAACCCACCTGAAAGGAACACCCACACCGGAGACACAAATTTTATGGAACCTTGAAATTTGTTTTCTTTTCGGCCCCCTTTTTTTGATTAAGTATGACATATTTAATCATATTCAAACAGGGGCGTCCAAGATTTTTAGAGTGTTTCGGGCGTCCTTTTTCTTCCTGTTTCTGTAGCAAAAACCCACCTTAGAAGGACACCCGCGCCAGAGACCGCAAGGGGAAATGACAGAAGGAAATCACGTTACATGTATCCAAAATTAGGATGTCCTTTTCTTCTTTTTTTGTAGCACAACCCACCTGAAAAGGACACCCGCACCGGAGGGGTTTTTAAAACCTTCAAAGAAAAATAAGGTGTTTCTTTGTCCACTCTCACCTTTCGTTCGTTTCATTTTCTGTCCTCGTTTATTTAAGTATGAAATGTTTAAACTATATTCCAAGCGGGGTGTCCAAGATTTTGAGAGTTCTTCGGGTGTCCTTTTCTTCCTGTTTCTGTAGCAAAACCCACCCTAAAAGGACACCCACACCGGAGACTCCGATGTTTTGGAAGCCTTGAAGCAAAGGCGCTCGCTCCCTTTTCCACTGCGGCCTTCCATTCGTCTTTTTTCCTTTGCGCAAGAAGGAAATTTATGAAAGACATGATGTGACATGTATTCAAAATTAGGGTGTCCTGTTCTTCTTTTTTCTGTAACAAGACCGACCTTAAAAGGACGCCCACCATTTTTTGGAAACCTTGAAAAAAAGCAGGCCGAAGACCTAAGACCTAAGACTTTTAGAGAATTTATGTTCCCAACAGACAAATCGCGAGCACTGTCCGTCCCCTTAAGATTCCCCAAGAAGTTATGCGCCCAACATACAATTGGCAAGTGCTGTCCCCTAAGATTTTGAAAGAATCTGTGCTCCCCAAAGACAAATCGCAAGCACCGTCCCACTAAGATTTTGGAAAAGCTTATGCTCCCAATCAGTTTTTAAAGGGAAGGATAAGAAGAGAAGAGAGAAGAGGAGTTGCATGTCTTCCTACCTTGTTCCTTTCTTCTTCCGGTTCACTCGCTCGTTCTGTCTCCCTCTCTCTCGCTCTCTTTTTTCTTTTCTTTTATGGGCGGCATGTCTTGTAGAATTGGAAGACGGAGAGGAGGGTGAGCTACAAGAAGCAGAGAGGGAGTCAGACAGGGCGAGGCGTAAAGAGAACTTGCCCCCCTTTTTTCTGCCCCCTGACCCTTTCTCTCTTTCTCTCTATCTCCTCATTTTTTCTCTCAAAGTGGTACGGGAATGCTCAGCCACCTGCCCGCACAAACAAACGTTCATCAGCTTCCAAAAGATTTGCAGAAGGAGAGAGGGAATGAGACAACGCCAGGCATGGAGAGAAGCATAGACCGTGGGAGCGTTCTTGGTTTTCCTCTTGTCTCGTTTTCTGTTTAGACAAGAACATAGGAGAGAAAGGGGGACATCACCTTGTTCTCACCATCTCCTCACTCTTCTTTCTTCCCCGCCAGAGAGCGAGAGAGAGAAAGAGAGATAGAGTGTGAGAGAGACCGAGAAAGAAAGAACGAGACCAAGAGCGAGAGTAAGAGCGACGGGGCGAAGAGAAGAGGGAGGAGCAAGGTAGAAAGCAGATGTAATCTCCTCCTCTGCCTTGTCCTTTCTCTTTCTCTTTAGCAAGAAAGAAACACGGTCTATGCTTCTCTCAATGTCTCGCCTTGTCTCCTCCCCCTCTCCTTCTTCAAATCTCTCTCTTGGTAGTTCTTCCTTTTCATCCTCTCACCCTCCTCCTCCCGTGCCAGTCCTACGAGACATACGAGAGAGAGAGAGAGAGAGAGAGAGAGAGGGAGAGAGAGAGAGAGAGCTTGCAGTGTGGAGGTGGGGGCAGGGAAAACCCTTGCTGTTGCCCTCAAGCCCGTTGAAAGAATATGTCTCGTAAAGTTGGAAGAGGAGGAGGAGGAGGTTGAGAGAATTAACGGGAGAACTACAAAGAAATATATTTGCTGAAGCAGAGAGGGAGTGAGATTGCTGAAAAGAAAAAGAGAAGAGAGAAAAGGAACTTACATGTTCGTCCTACCTTGGTTCTTATCCCTGAGGCCAGCATAGTACGACTGACGTGACAGGACCGTGCCCTCGTGGAAACGTGTGTGGCAATAATAAAACCCGAGTGGCAGCTTCCAAATAAACCCTATTTAAGCCGGCCCAGGGGGGGGTGGGGGGGGGGTCCCCTCCGGGTCTGCTTGTTCCAGACGCTTCTCGGCAGGAAGCCGAGGCGAATTAGGAGAGAAGGGGGGCTTACACCTTCTTCTCACCATGCTCCTCACTCTTCTCTCTTCCCCGCCCCCCGTTCGCGCTCTTTCTTTTTTCTTTCAACGGGCTTGAGGGCAAAGGTTTTCCCCGCCCCCAGCCCCACGCTGCACTCTCTCTCTCTCTCTTTCTCACTCTCTGTCTCTGTCTTTCTTTTCTCTTCTGAGTTAGCAGGGGAGGAGGAGGGTGAGAGGAATGAAAGGAGAGGGAGAATGAGACAAGGCGGGACATTGAGAGAAGCATAGACCGTGCCGGGAGTGAGATTGCTGAAAAGAAAATGAAAACAAAAAGAAAAAGACAAGAGAGAAGAGGAACTCACATGTTGTTTCTACTTTGTGCTTGCCCCTGCGTCTTCTCTCCCCCTGACCCTGTCTTCTTTCTCTATCTCTTTACTTTTCTTTTATTGTGGTACGGGAAGGCGGAATGAGATGAAGGCAGCGTCCCCTGAAGGCACCTGCCCCGCACAGGAAAACACCGAGCCTCAGCTTCCAAATAAACCCTATTTAAGCCACCCACACCCCCCCGCCCCCCGCCCCCCCCGACCCACCAAAATGACGACCAACTATTGACCAGAATGTGAGGGAGTAACCGGAAGGAGTTGGGGATGAACCTGATTCGAAGATTGGGCCTGCAAGTGTGAGCGAACAAAGTGAAATACTGCATCAAGATGACCGCAACGTCGTCACACTTATCGGGCCTCACGCAGGCTGATCCTCTATCCCACATATCTCGAATCCACAAACATCAGCCATGACGGAGTTCATCACGGAGTTCAACAATTCACAACGTGTCATCACCGCATGGGCACCTGCATCAGATCTCAAAACATGGCTCACATCTCTCGATCTGTGCGTCCTCCCAACGAACACAAAGAAGAGCTGGGTGGACCTCCATGTCACGTTAGAACCATTTTTGTTTCCACTTAAGTTCTGTAAGGTCAGTGTTGGGTTCCCTTCGAATTGAAAGGGGGGTATCCCTTGAAGTCCCTTGGGTCGAAGGTGCCATAGTACAGTAGACCGTGTTGTCACAATTGAGAGATAGGTTTCTGAAAGTTTCTTTATGATGTCTTTGAAGTCTTTGCGCGTGCGAGACTCATTTTTGGCGTGGCCAGGCCCAGCGCCAGGAGGACCAGCAGGGCCAGACGGCTGCAGTGACGAAGGCGCTCCAGGCAGCGACGGGCGAGAGACAGACAGAGAGAGGGTGCAAAAGGATTATCCGGGTTTCAGAACCGACAGATGGCGAGAGGCCGCGCGCAGTGTGCTGAGCTTGTACTTACAAGAGTATATGAATCCATGCTTTGTTCATTTTTGCTTCTGGCCCCTCCTTTGAAAAAAAGAGCTGTTACGGCGAACTGACTCTCCATGCCTCGGCGGCTTGGGAAGTTGCAAGCGAAAAGCTTGTAAGGCAATTGGTGCAACTTCGGTGAAGAGCTTGTAACTGATTGTTTTTTGGAAGGGGCAAGGGGAAGGTTTAGCGAAAACGGTAGAGCCATACAGATGTGTGACTTGACTGAATCTCATACGTTGGAGCTTCGTTTCCTCGATGGTGGTTGTGGCAAAAAGTATGCGAAGTACGCCGTCAGACTTAAGTCTTGGAAAGCTTTCTAGCCATGTACGAATCCCGATATACATGAAGGCCACGGGAAAAGTTCTCATGTTTTGATCGAACGCTTGAACGGGATGTCGGAACGTCACAACTGCGTCGCAAGAGCCTGTTGAGAGGACGCATGCGCGATGCCATGAGGGATCATGACATGACATTCGAGAGGGAATCATGGGGGTGAGTCGGTGAGTCGGTGAGTCGGTGAGTCGGTGAGTCGGTGAGGCCCTGAACGACTACAAGGCCAACGCCTCGAAGGTGGGACACAAGTCCGAGTTGCCGCAGAGTTGCTACTGAAGGGTCACGGTGTTTCTTTTCTGCAAGGCCTTGTGGCTCATCACCAAGTCCTTGGACGCTCACAAGGAGGAGGCGCGGAGCTCGCAACAAGGAACCAAAACTCATTCTTTTTTGGGAACGTCTCTGAAAACACTGCTGAGAACTCTCGTCTGTCTTTTTCACTGCTGTTTTGCGAGGTGGCCACATCCTTCGAGTCTCAACAGAAGGCAGCGGAGGGCGGCTTCGGCACGCTGCGGGAGGAGCTCAGCAAGGGCCTCACGGAGTCCGCCTCTGCGCTGCTGAGCACGAAAAACCTTCTCGACTCCGACGTCCAGCAGCACCGACAAGAACTCGAGAAGAAGCTCGAGGCAGCGGGCAGCGAGAGCACGTCTTGAGCACATCTTTTGCCTCTCAAAAGAGCACATCGGACACAGCAGAAATAGATGTAAAGGCTTGGTAACAAGGCAAGGTGTTCTTGAAACACTTTTATCGTATGCTCTTGTGACTCTTGTGCGCTCGTACAGCTGTTTTTTGCCGTGTGCTCTTGGATTTTAAGGACAAATATACCCGCCAGAGTCTGTCCACACGCGCTCGATACTACCACTCTGCAAGATCGGTGTGACAGGAACCAGGACAGATATGAGGAGGACAGACAAGATAAGATGGGTTAGCCGCCAGCAGGTTTCGCGGCCGATTGCGCCGAAAGCATGGCCGCCATGTAACGGTTATGGCGGCCCCGTGACAACCCGCAGGCCTCTCATGACCGCAAAAGAGTGTTGCCATAAAGCGGCCTGTTTTTCAGGCCAGTTGTTTGGTTAATGTTGTCGACAACAATCGCAATCACCTCCACAATTGGCTTTCCAACACAAGGACTCCGCTTCTCGCCGCCGTGAAAGGTATGTCAATGTCATTTATGGGAATTCGATCGAGTAATGAGCACGTTGGCAGACGCAGTAAATTTGCGAGGTCGCGTGGGCGAAAAGTGGCATGCGTGGAAGGCATGGGTTAAGAGGCATATTTCATTCTTCTTGCTTTAAGGGCAGAACGTGGTTGAGCAGAGAACATCGATATGAAAAAACCGCAATTACTCGGCATGCGTGGGGTTTCGTACATCAATGGCGAAAATTGCGGATTTCAGCAGACTGCGTCGGAAAGGCGAAAGCTCCGTGCGAAAATGTGCAATGAGTCAGGGGCAAACCGATCAGGACGGTGTATGGGGGCAAACTCTTGGCCTTCGTCGAACCCCCCTCCCGGCCCTTGTGGCCTTCGTCGAACCTCCGGCCTTCATTTAGCCTTCGTCGAACCTTCGCGTTTTTTTTCGGGCTTTGTCTTGGCCTTTTGTATCGGCCTTCGTCGAACCCCGTCCCCCTTCGTCGAACCTCCCGGCCTTCGTCGAACCTTCGCCCGGCCGCCCGGCCTTCGTCGAGCTTCGTCTCGGCCCGTTGGTATCCCGAGTTTTCGTCGAAGTTCCCCGGCCATCCTGCTCTTCGGCCATCCTGATGTGTTTTCCCCTTAATGAGTGCAATGTGCAAAACCAAGAAAATTGTCTTCTTTCATTTTCTGGGGGGATGGAGGTGAAGGTTTAGGTTCGGGTCTTCTGGGCTTGGGCTTGCGCTAGCAAGCACCGCATCCCTAAGTTTGAAACAATGTATATCAGAAACTTATCGAAGTGAATAGACAAATATACATATATATATATATGTGGCATGAACCTTTACGTATCAACTGGCATTCTCTTTTGTTTGCTTTTTAAACCTACAACAGCAACCCTAAAATCCTTATGCTTTGTTGTGGCATAGGGCTTTTGCCTTGGGATCTATCCAAAGAAGCCCTCACGCTCTAAAGCAAAGGAGGCCTTCGCCATCCTGTTACTATCATGTCCACCCCTCCCAGTGTGCCAGACCGGAACTATCAAGAATGGGTCTGTCATTTCTCTCTTGTTTCTCCCCTCCTCAGCCTCACTCCTCTGCCCTGCCACTCTACCGTTCTCGATCAGAAAAAAGACAATGGAAGAGATGACAAAGGAAGAGGCGCGGACGTGGACGAGCGGAACTCTTCCTACTCTCGTCTCTCTTTAGTTTTTCTCTCTCGGCTCTCTCGTTCGCTCTTCCTCTCTTCCTCGGTGTTGTCCTTCTCTCGGCTTCTGCCCTTTTCGTCCAATGACAAGGACAATGCTCCCGATGCATTTATCTCTTCCTGTTCCTCTCTCACCCGAAGAACCATGCGGTCATCCAGTCAGGGTGAAAGGGATTGGAGGGAGTGAAAAGCGGGCGTGGACCAAGCAGAACTTCATCAAAGACGCTGTCCACCTCATTCTCCCTATTGCCGGACAGCTCCTGAGGTACTGCATTTAATCGACAGCAGTACGTTTGTACCACAGGAAGAGGACAAGCGGGAGGCCCAAAAGCGCACGCGCCGCGGCGGCGGGCGGGCGGTCGGGGCGGCGGGCGGCGGCGGGCGGGCGGGCGGCGAACGGGCGGGCGAACCCCCACGGCATGAATCCTTGAGACAGTCTACATACACCTTCGGAGGCTAATTAACGTGCCAAAATCCAGGCGGCAACCCCCCCTCCCCGACACAAAGAACGAAAGACACAGAAATAAGAAAGGAAGAAAGAAAGACCAGGGCCTGACAAAGTGTCGTTTGGAGTCTGCGCCAAAACGGGGGGGGGGGGGGGGGGGGGGCTGAACATGCGAAAGGTTCTGGGTTTCAGGAATTCCCGCCCACCCCCAGCCCAGCCACCCCCACCCCACGCCCCACGCCCCTCGCCCTCCCACCCCCCCGCTCCCCCAAATACGTAGCTTAAACGCACGGTGCTTAGGGGCGCCGAAACCTAGAACTATTGATCTAGTAGTGGGAACCACATAATACTGATGCAATTAATCTGCAATGAGCATGTCATTTGTTTCGTATAGTATTCAATCAATAATGTATTCATGTAACGAATATTTTTTCAATGAGCACAAAACCAGCCTCTTTCGTATAGCGCCAATTCAAGATTTAGCATGGCCGGTACACGCATGTTGTTTAGAAAAGAATACTATTTGCCCAAAAGCCATTTACCTGGAGGAGCTTAGTATCAAAGATCGCGCTGGTGTTGTGAGATAAAACACAGAGATTAATTATTGGCTTGTGAGGTCAGTGTCCCAATAGCTTTCCTTCGTTAAGCCGTTCTGGTCGGACATGGATTCAAGTCTCGTTGCCTTGCTCCATGCACGAAGACCGTCTCCGTCTCGGCGGTACATCGCTGAGACAGTACGTGCTTTTAGATCGGGATCTACGATGATCTACGGGTTGTGTTTCTTGAAGAAAGGCACAGCGGCAAGAGTCTGCATTGGGCTTGGACGAGTACAAGAAGGAGGCCTCAGCAGTGATGGCCAGCACGAGCGAGGCACGTAACCAACTAACGATGGTTTAGACGAAATAACCCAATACTCAGAGATCGGGAGCAGAAAGCCTCTTCGAAGACACTTCGTTGTGAGGCGCTGACGGCCCACCGCATCTCAACGGAGAAGCAGATGGAGGCGCAGGTGAAGGCTTTGTCAGAGCACCGCGAGGAGGCCTCGAAGCTTGTGGAGAGCTCCAAAGAGGTGTGCCAGAAGGGCACACATGAAGCAAGGGAGGCGCTCCAGCAGACGTTGCTCGCCACCAAAGAAGGCCTGGAGAAGGCCCTGGGCGAGCACAAGGAGAAGGCTGAGCAGCAGGCCGAGCAGCAGAAGAAGGAACACGTGCAGCTCAGCAGCCAACTTGAGGAGCACCGGAAAACGCAAGCGGGACAGGCTGAGAAGGGAGAGCAAGCTTTGGCAAAGCAAGTGGCGGACCTGGCCCTTTTGGAAGGAAAGCTGGAGGCCAAGCAGAAGGAGAGCCAAAACGAGCTGGAGCTTTTACGAAAAGAGCTGAAGGAAGAGTTGAAGGCAAAGGAGGAGTCGACGGCAAAGGAGGCGAAGGCTTTGGAGGCGAAGCTCGAGGCCCATGCAGCCTCCTTGGTTTCCTTCGAGGCCTACAAGAAGGCCAGCGCGGAGCAGTTCGAGGGCTACAAGGCCCGCTCCGCCTCCGATGTCCAAAAGCTGGAGGAAAAGCTCAAAGAGCAACAAAGCTCCTTCCAGAAAGAGCTGAAGTCCCTCCAAGAGGCTTTGCAAAGCTTGAAGAATGAGAAGAAGTAGAAGAAGAGCCACTAAACAGTGGCTCCAAAGTGGCCTCGGCCCCCAAATTCTGCAGTCCGAAAACCCCTCCTGCGCAGATTCAGACTTTCACCTGTCGAGACTGTCGAGACTCGAGGGGTCCGCGGCACAGAATCGGCGTTTTCTCGGGGGAGAGCTCCTGAAATTGTGAGCTCTCCCTTAGTCATCTTTCGCCACTGGGCCGTGGCCTGAGCAACTCCGTGTCAGTGCCCTTCTCGAATTGTAAAACGACTCCCCCCATCCCTCACTCCCTCCACGTAACATGATCTGAGCCATGAAGAAGATTTAAAGAAGGCACGCCGCTGGAGCTTGAGCCTGCCCACCGGCTCTGAGCTCGCGGCTTTGCACTGCCATGGGCCACTCGCCGACAGCCTGGCGGCCCTGGCGGCCCTGGCGGCCCTGGTGCAGGGTCTCCATTTTGGTATATGGGCATTAGCCCAGCGGCGACAATGAGACGTCTCGGGAACGGAAATGCCAATTGCACTCAGCTCAAGTTTTTAGAGCCTGCAGCTTGGTGCAGCTTGGTGCAGCTTTGTGCAGCTTGGCGAGCGGCGAATGGCAAAAGGCTTGCAGAAGCAAAATCGGGCCGTCGCCCAAGACATCTCAAGGAGCAAGACACAGCGGAAGCAATCACGCCCAAGAAGCCCTGTAAAGATGCATTGTGCAGCTATGCCTGCTTGATATGTAATGTGCACTACTAGCTCCATGCATGAAAATCAGAACAGCACATGTAGCGCATGGCCGCCAGCAAAGATGCGAGCGCATGATGGGCGAGGACAGAGCTCTGAAAACTCAAAGACGAAGCCCAAGAAATTCCCCCCGAAGTGAGAAGAGACAAGGACAGTGTTGAGTTTGCGATATTGAGAATTGACAAAAAGCGCTTAAACTTCTCTAAAGCTGAGAGGCCAAAGAGGCCAAAGAGGCCTGGGCCAGCCCAGAAGGCACGGGAAGAGAGACTCTCTCATTAAGACCCTTGCGGCACTTGCGCTCTCCTTCCCTTTCTCTTTCTCTCCCTTCCCTCTGGCCCTCTCTGTTTATACCAATGTCTACATCTCATTGTCAACGCTTGCGCGCGCCACCTCAGGAAAGGAGGAAAGAGGGTTTCTGCAAAAAAAAGGGTCCGGGTGGGGGGGGGGGGGGGGGGGGGGGGGGGGGGGGGGGGGGGGGGGGGGGGGGGGCTGACAGGTTTGCAGCCCTCTCCAAGCGATGGGGCCCACAGGGCGGGGGCAGGCCCGATCCGGTCTGCTTGCTCCAAACGCTTCTCGGCAGGAAGCCGAGGCGACTTTCTCTCTCTACTCAGTCCCCGCTTTTGCAAAGTAGTATGGGCGGTGACGTCGTTACGCTGCTTCTTCTTAAAGAGAGGCTCTAGTTGTTATTCCAGTGAAACTTCAGGCTCCGGCGTGCTGCGACTGGCACACCTGAGCCACGCGGTCGTCGCGCCTGGCGTGGAGGAGTCGCATGTCTCTGAGCACCTCAAGATGGGACACTGAGATGAAAGAGAGATGAGACTCAGATGAGAGAGAGCAAGAGAGAGATGACAGTGACTTGTACAGGAGCGGCTGCGCATAGAGCTGCGGGACATCCAGCTACCACCTGGACTTCCCACTGCAGCCGGAGACTTCAGGGGACGGAGATACTCGACAAGAGTCATGGGTTTGATCCAGTCGACCAGGCAGAAGATCAGATTTGATCACAGATCCAGAAAGTTCCCCGATCGATTTCACATCTTACATCAATTTCGTTGTGACGTCTTCCAGAATCTCCCAAGCAATCCTCAAAAGACCCTAGGGTCGTCAGTGGCAGGGGGGCAGTCCTCAAATGGCCCCAATTGGGGCCACAAGTTAACGACACATTGCAACTTAGCCCGGGGACTTGTGCCGCTACTCAACAGCTTGTGCCCAAATGTGGAACGGTCGGGTTGATCCTTCTTTTTTCGCAGCCTTGGGGGAGCAGACGAAGACCCCCAACCGAACCACTTCACAGAGAGAAATTCGCTAGAGAACTTGCTTAAAACAATTTCACACACACGCACACACACGCACACACACACGCACTTCTCACACATGCCGCCAGCACGGCGCCAACGTCCACCACACAATGCTCTCAAACGAAGCGAATACTTTAATTTACATGAGTTGCTTCAGGGCCGACTCCTAGTGGATCGGATCGCGTAGAATGGGGCAAGATGGGCTCACGACTGGCATCTGCAGATTCTCTCAGCCCTTCTGGCGTGCCCCACAGGGCACTCCCCACAGGGCCCCAGCACCACAGCGGCCACAGCGCGCCACAACGCGCCACACAGCACACACAGACCGGCGTTTCCGAGAGCAAATGTTCGCGGGGGACCAGAGGGACCAAACAAAAAGAGACTCGGGGAGACATATCTTGTCATAATCTTGCGGAGCTTGAGTCCGACTGTGAGGTTGAGGAGCTGCGATGCAAAGCCTACGTGCCCTGGCGGTTAACTATGAGATTTGACAAATTCCTCCTGTCCTGTGTGGAAGCAAAGTCTAAACATAGAGAGCGAGAGAGAGAGAGAGAGAGAGAGAGAGAGAGAGAGAGAGAGAAGGTCGGGCCCGCGGCGGCGCTGTTCCCTGGAGACGGCCGGCCAGACAAGTCGCGGCTGCGTGAAGCCAGGCCAAGCGCATAGAGGGAGCATGGGAGGTCATTGCTCAGAAGACCCAGCCTTGAGGGTTTATCTCCTCTGAGTCTGCTTGTGATGTGTGTGTGTGTGGTGTGATGTGTGATGTGTGATGTGTGATGTGTGATGTGTGATGTGTGATGTGTGATGTGTGATGTGTGATGTGTGATGTGTGATGTGTGATGTGTGATGGGTGATGTGTGATGTGTGATGTGTGATGTGTGATGTGTGATGTGTGATGTGTGATGTGTGATGTGTGATGTGTGATGTGTGATGTGTGATGTGTGATGTGTGATGTGTGATGTGTGATGTGTGATGTGTGATGTGTGATGTGTGATGTGTGATGTGTGTGTGTGTGTGTGTGTGTGGTGTGTGTGTGCGTGACGGCATGATGGCAGCCATTGAGCACATGGGATTCGCACACAGAGTATCACATTGTGTGGCGTTGAGGTCAGATTGGCAAGCTTCACGGCAATCCGGTCAACAAATCTAACCGGCAAAAGCAGGGACTCATGTGAAGTTCGGACCGCTCGGCGAAAAAGACGACTCGAACCTTCGTTTTTTTTACAAAGAAGAACTGCATATTGCACAACTTTTGCGGGCTTGCTTACTTGAGAAAATGTGAGACTTCCAAGCTCCGCTCGGAGGCTCGACTTGTTGCACATCTTTTGCCCTTATAGCGAGCAAAAATTGTAAATGTTTTGAGTGTGTTTTGAGGTTCCTACTCAAGTGATTCAAAAAAGAAACTCTTAAGTGCTTGAGAGCGAGCTTGAGAAGCAGAAGTCCATGTCGCTCAACTGGCCATTAAGTGGTGTAGCTCAAGCCGCAGCGCTCGACCCTTAGCTATGCTCGGGTGCAGAGCCAAAAAATTGCCGAGGTCCAGCCATAGGTTCAGAATGGTTCAGATCAACCTTGCTGATCAAGCCGCGGTTCATCTCACTCAACGCAAACCCTTTGCAAAGGGAAATGCAAGCAGTTGAAAATTCGAAGCCGAATTGCAGAGGTGTGCCTTGTCAAATACTGGACAAGAACTGTCAGCTACGAGCCTTAGTTGTTGCGCTGCAACTGGAGCTGCGTTCCATCACATGTCAACAGATTCTCAATTCAGGTTTGCAGTGTCGAGATTTGCAAAGCACAAGAACTGTCTGCTGGTGTGGGCTTCCCTCTTGGGCGTTGCCAGAAACCGTTGTCATGTCTACGCGCGCACACGCATACCAATCCGTAATCAATGTACACACACGCGCACGCACACGCACACGCACACGCGCACACGCACACACGCACACACACGCACACGCACACGCACGCACACGCACACGCACACACACGCACACGCACACACACGCACACGCACACACACACGCACACGCACACACCCGCACACGCACACCCGCACACGCACACGCACACGCACCACCCACCCACCCACCCACCCACCCCACACACAACACACACACACACACACACACACACACAACACACACACACACCACGCACCCACACACACACACACCCACGCACCACCCACCCACCCACCACCCAACCACGCACGCACGCCGCACGCACGCACGCACGCACGCACGCGCACGGCGCACGGGCGCAACGGGCGCACGGGCGCACGGGGGGCGCACGGGCGCACACGCGCACGGGCGCACACGCGCGCACGGGCACGCGCCCGCGCACACGCGCACACACACACACACACACACACACACCACACAACACACACACACACACCCGCTTGCACGCGCACACGGGCGCACGGGCGCACGGGCGCACGGGCGCACACGCGCACGGGCACACGCGCACGTAGCACGCACGCGACGCACGCGACACGACGCACGCGCACACGCGCACGCACGCGAACGCACGCGACCGCACGCACGCGACCCGCGCACGCACGCGACCGCGCACGCACGCGACCGCGCACGCACGCGACCGCGCACGCACGCCACGCACGTGACCAACACGCACGCAGCACGACCACGCACGCAAGCACGCCGCACGCACGCGACCACGAACTCACGCACGCACGCACGCACGCGACCACGAGCTCACGCACGCCCGCACGCACGCGACCCTGCACGCACGCACGCACGCACGTACGCGTCACGCGACCACGCACGCACGCACGCGACCACGCACGCACGCACGCGACCACGCACGCACGCACGACCACGCACGCGACCACGTACGCACGACCACGCACGACCACGCACGACCAGGCACGCACGACCAGGCACGCACGACCAGGCACGCACGACCAGGCACGCACGACCAGGCACGCACGACCACGCACGCACGACCACGCACGCACGACCACGCACGCACGACCACGCAC